GCCCTGCCCTGCCCTGCCCTGCCCTGCCCTGCCCTGCCCTGCCCTGCCCTGCCCTGCCCGGCTGGCCTCCCTCGAGGCCCCCTTATCCCGGCCCCGTGGCTGCGGTGCAGTCGAGAAGTATTCCAAGAGATTCGTTGCCCCTAGTTAGAAGGGCTGGGACTACAGTGCCCACCATTCCCAGCCTCAAGGTAGACCCGGGTTCAAGCCTCTCTGCCTCTCGGGTCACCATGGAAGGGGAAGAAGGCTGCACACCGCCTTGGGTTCTTCTGAGAGAAAAGCAGGGGGAGCTTTGATCCCACCATCCTGGCTCCCCTCTTGACTTTTCTGACCACACCCTGCTGCCACCCTGGGGAGGCCCCCGCTGCCCTTCCTTGCTAACGCTTTACTTCTGCCCTTCCTTCTCGGCCGGCTCTCCTCTGCCAAAGAAGCCACCATCCACCTTCCCCACCCCGACTGGGCACTCTGTGATGACAGAAGGGAGTTCATCCCCCTGTCATAATCGGTGGCACCAGGCGGCACATAACGCCGTGACGCTTAGACCGTTTACATCCCGTGGGCAGGTTGTGTCTCGAACCTCCATATGGAGAACAGCCCCAATTTCAGACCCAGGAGGGGTGCCCGGGGCCCCTCTGAAGGTGAGATGGGAGCTCAGAGGGCCATGGGAGGCGGCGGGAGAAGCTGCGTGTTTCTGCCCGCAGCTTTTGCCATCTGGATCCAGAGGCTCTTTTCTGAAGGCTGCTTGACAGATCCAGGGTTGCACCAAGCGCTCAGCCCCATCCCCACAATGAGAGTGAAATCCCCACGCCCAGTACAAGTCACGGTGATGCCACGTGCATCACAGCATCGTCACCGAAGGATGCAATTGACAGAAGGGTCAAGATTCATTTCATTTGCATGATGACGTCCTGACCCGCGTGGCGCAACTGGTCCCTCTGCCACACATGCCTGGGGATGGAGGCGACCCTGAGAGCCTCCCTTCTCAAGGAGAGGAGGCGCAGAAGCCCCTGGTTTCTACTGGCCACACGGACATTCCCCACGTGGCACATGGGGAGCCGCTGTTTCTGTTCCAAGGTGAGCTGCACAAGCGTCCCGCGAACAGTGGGGCTTGGCCAGACACCCCCAGGATCTGGAACCCGGAGACCAATTCAGAGCACCAGAAGAATGTGAGTCGGGCCCAGCACTCCCCTCTCAATCCAGCCTCCCAGAGTGTCCCCACTGGATGCCGACAAGCAGGCACGGAGGCCAGAGCCTTTCCCCTTGGCCTCTCTGCAAGGGAGATTTTGGGCACCTGCTTCTGAAGCTGATGGGCCTGTAAAGCCATTATGTGCCAGCCGGATGAACCTGCACACCCTTTTTAAAAGCATTTCCTCTCCTGACTGGTAAGAAGACTCCCCCGGTTGAATGTCCACCAAGGTGCCCCTGTGGGTGCATGTAAATGCTTGCTTGCCTACATGCCCCCCCCAACCTCTGGCTCTTTGCCCCACCCTGAAAGGAAAACTGAGGGGCCACTCACGTGCTGCCACTGGTCGATGATGAGCGGCCGGTACCTCAGGAAGAATTTGAGGGGAAAGGAGTCCGGATCCGGCCAGGAGGACGGGTACTGCCAGGTCACCAGCAGTCTCCGGGCATTGTTGGAGATCGGCTTTGCGACCACATTTTCTGGGGGATCCGGTTTTACTGTTTAAAAAAACAAAAGCAAAGAAGGGAAATGTGGCGAGAGCAGCACATGCACCATTCGGGCACTGAAGACGCGTCCCGGGCCAGAGAGGCAAGGGCCCAGTGGAACCGGGGGCCTTGCCAGGGACACTGGGCTGGGGCTGGAAAGGTGGCAACTGCAGGCACAGCTGGGCGGAGCACGTCATGGGCTGACCGGACATGAACTGGGAGGAGGCTTTCCGAACTGGAATTCCAGACAGGAGGCGGCTTTCCCCAGCTCCAGACCCTGAGGGCCACCACGGCAAATGCAGTAGGCCCCCAGAAGACTCCGTGGGTGAGTTTTGCAGGCTTGGATTTCGGATGGTGCTGCGTCACGTGGGGCTCGCATAGGTGGAACGCCTGGCTCGCCCGTTCCCCTCCCGCCTCCTCCTCGTTCTGGGCACGCCACTCGCCACCCTGTCTTTCCTAAGCACTCCCAAGTGTTTGGAAGGCCGCAGTGCTCAGGTGAAGATGATCACCGCATGCTGAGAAGGGTGGGCAGCGCATGAACCCGCCAGGGCTCCCTCCCGCTGGTCCTCGGAGCACAGAATTGGTCCTTCAGTTGGTGCCCCCACCAACCGACCACAGCGGCTCCTGGAGGACATAACCCCCCTGCCCCCCCCCGCTGCAGAAAGGAGGACAAATTAACGGTGTCTGTCTGACTGGCAAGCAGGAGCCGTTGGTGTTAGGGAAAAGTTGCCAGGTTGTTAAGATTCGTTCTTCCTGCCTATAAATACCCACTGAAAGCTATGACGCTGCAGTCGGGCGGCTGTCCCAACAGCTGCGGCCATCAAAACACTTTGCCATGTGAGGTCTCTGAGTGTGACTGAGGTGTGCGCGTGTGTGAGAGAACCATGACTCACTGGAGCCCAGGAAAAGGAAAGTCAAGCCAGGCGGTGGTTCACAGGGTCCATGGATCAGAACAGAAACCGGAGGGAAAGACTCAGAGCAACTCACCCGCCGGTGAGCTGCTGCGGACGGACAGACGGACGGACGGGGAGCGCCAGAGAGCTCAGAAGCCCCGCAGGGAGAGGCAGGACCTGCGCGGAGGGGCAGGCGGAGGCGGCCTCTGGCCGGCCCAATGAGGCAACTCCAGCATCGTGACTCACCCCGCGGCAGCTGAGCCAGAAGGAAACAGGCTGGCCTGCCCAGCGGGCTGGCACGGAAGCACAGCGGCACAATGCCAGGGCTGGCTCTGCACCGATGCTGGGGTGGAGGGGCCCTGGGTCTCCCAGGAAGCCTTCCCCTCAGGCTGGCACCCTCTTCCTCTCCACCGCCCTGGGCTGGGAGGGAGGGAAATGCTGAGGGTCCCCAGGGGCTCCCTCCCTCCCTCCCTCTCGCCCCCCCCCCGGGCCAGCCGATGAGCAGCATATTGACCGCTCTGCACCTTTGTTCCTTCCTTGGGGTCGGTTGCCAGATTGCCCTGCAGGCCAGGGGAAAGTCAGCCAAGGGGTGGGCGTGGGCCGCACCCAGAGAGCGAGCCTTCCAACTGGCAAAGCCAGGAGCAGCAGAGCCTGGCATCCAGTTCCAATCCCACCTCCCACATGGCAAAAGAGATGCCCTGTCCCTGTATGGGTGGGGTGATGGTGTCAGATGGCCAGGTCAGGCCAGGCCAGGCCTGGCTGGGTGGATATAACAAATTCCACTTGGGTGCAGAAGGGGTCCTTGTTCTGGGAGGTTGCACAATCCAGATTTTGCCAACGGGCCGCTTTCTGCCCAAGCATCCTAACCTGGCTTAGCCCTAACCAAGCTCAGCGTCTTGTCTCGGGTCCATCTAGCTCAGCGTGTTGCACAAATCCCGTCTCTCTTGGCAGATCTGCAGAGCCACAGGGTCTGGCAAGGGGAAAAGGAGGTCGCTCTGTCAGCGCATTACAATCTCCTTGCCTTGGCTCTGATGCCGCCCAGCTGAGCCCACACTGGCAGACATACAAAGAAACAAACAAGAGTTTTATTCATAGATGCCTTGGTAGGAATTGAACATCTGGAATAGAGCTTGCTCGGATTCTGGAAATTACTGTACAGGTTGGATTAAACTGAAATATGAAAGTTGTATTCCTTCTGCAGTCATTAAGACTGTATAAAATTAGTTGTTCAAGTTTTACAGGGAATCCAACAACGTTGGCTCTAACTCTGTTCTTTCCTAAAAGCCCTTAACTTTTACCACGTAGAATAAATAGTATGTTGATTAGTTGTGCATAAAGGTTGAGAGAGAGTGATCTTTAATAAAAACCAGTTGGAGCACCTGATACACACACACACACACACACACACAGATTTATGGAGTTTACCTATCAGGCCAAAATGTCCAGATTTTTAAAATCCTCATGACAAAAGAGATCTTGATCTAGCTCAGTTTGCCCATATCTTTTCCCCTTATTTAACAGACACTCTTGCATTTTTGCCTAGATCATCATGGCCCTAAAAAACAGGATTCCTGTACCTTTTCATTTATTACATCTAGCACAACCCCGGGGAAAGAAAATTGCAAAAGATTTGATCGTATTCCACAGCGTAGCCGTCTGGCCAGGCTGCTGGATTGAGCTCAGTTCCAAGTTTGCTTTGTTACATCTCTGCACCAGTCGCAAACTCTTGGAAGAAACCTGCACAAACATTATATTGCAGGCCCCCACCCCACCCCCATCTATGTGTTTTTGTACATATTTATTTCATTGGCAAGTGGCCGTGCAGACTTTCCAGTTTGAGAAATGGGTAAGTGATCTAAACCAATTTCTGCCCCTCCCGCCCCCAGGCTGACTGGTGTGGGGAAGCCCTAGGCGGTGGAAGGACACCCTTTCCTTGCATTTCTTCACCCCAGCACTGCTGCCTTCCTTAGAAACCCGTCTCTTCTCCAGTTGTGGCATCTCTTCTGTGAAATATCCTTCCCAAAGATGCTACTTGGTGTCAAACATGAATACCCTTTTAGCATCAGGGAAAGACTTTATTTTCCAGGAAAATATGGAAGAGGCAGTGCCAAGTGCCGGTAGAAATTATTCCATTAGAGCCCCCGAGTGCTTTTTACAATCACGCCTGTCTTCTGTGCGCATGAGAGCAGAAGCAGGCGTAGGCGTCAGACACACTGCCCCTTCTACCCCAATCCCAAACTCTCGGTTGCATTTTTATGACAATGGACTGCAAAACTCCCTTACAGGAGTCTGTGCAAAAGGGCCTCTGTGTCACCCCCATATAGCCCTGTTGCACCTTGAAAACCATTTCCTTTTTGCACAACATTTCAAGATCAGAGACTGTGAAGTGGGCTAGAATCCACCAAAATCAATGCGATGCTGCCCCAAGACCTCCCAACTGGGCCTCTGCTGCCCCCGAGAGGAACCCGTCCCCCTCCGTTCCTGCGTCCTGAAAGAGCCTCGCCGAGAGAGGACTGGCCACGGCCTTCACTGCGTGGCAGGGTGGCAACAGATGCTGAGAGGTGGCTCCGGATTCCTCCAGCTCTGAACGCCCACCAGGTCTGAGCGAGACCTCTAGTCCGGCCGGAGTGGAACAGAAGCAGGTGATGGCGAGGGGAGCAGGCGGTCTTCTCTCCTGGAGCAACAACTGAGCGGCTCTTTCCTTAAGCCAGGCCCCATTGAGCCGAAAGGGCACTGCCCGCACTGCCTGAGCCATTGGCGAAGTGGGGGGGGGAGATTATTTGGGCCTCAAGCGAGAGGGACCGAGCACCCACTGCTGGGTGTGCCGAGAGGCTGACACAATAAAGCGGCTTCACTAGCAAAACGCACAGAAATGGCCGAGCCAAAATCAAGGGTGAGCTTCATCTCTGCCGGGGCTCACCTCCTTCCTTCCCTCGCCTGCAGGGGTTATGCAGAGGCGGTGCAGGACAGGGAGGGGGACCGGCTTCGCATGCTCCAGGCCGCCATCCAGATGCACCCCAGCTAGGATCCAGGCCTGGCCTGCAAGGGCGAGGGGGCACCCCGGCTCCCATTTAAAGGGCCGCAGGTCCAGCTCCATCAGGGCAATCCTAAATCCAGGGCAGGATTGGGTGGGTTTTTGGCTTCCCGAGGAAAGAAGCTGAATAGAGCCAGGGGGAGTCAGCCCAGCAGGAGACCCTGCCAAGGGAAAGGCCTGCAAGCGGCAGCTGTTCCCTCTGCAGGTGCTTTGTGAAGTGGGCCGGCTTCTCTTTTGCTGATATCACTCCAGTTCTAGTTTCCTAAACATCGAATCCACAGATCTGGATACCTCCAAGCACAAACGGATGGGCCTGGGTGGAGGGACGCCATGCAGATGGGGGAAGGACAGTGGTCTATGGAGGCTGGAAGAGCAAGAGGGGGATCAGGGGTGGGTTTCCAAGAACGTATCAGGCCGAGGGTCTATCAAGGACCCATTACTCTGCAAGGGTGGACGTGCCCTGTTTCCAAACGCCCTCAATCAAAGGCGTGATGCAACTCTTCCGCTGTTCCTTTTTTTTCTAGTAAAGAAAGGCAAAACAGCAGCAAATCATGGGGAGTGTAGAGAGGCAGAAAGTGTCTGGACCCCCTTCCCAGGCCATTAAATCCCCCATTTAGGAGAGTGAGTGTACAATAAAACCCCTCCCTGGGAGCACCAGCGCGGGAGGACATTATCTGCCTCTGCTGGAGGCAGCTGGAGTCCAGGAGGCAGAGAGCGGGCAGAGACTCACCTCTTGCTTTTAAGGGGTCTGCAAGCAGCAGAATGGCGCAGAATGCAAGTTCCTTGGAGAATGAGGGGGCATGGAGTGTGAGACCTCAGGGGCCCCACAGATCTGGGGCCTGAAAAGAGGTCACTGGGAAGCCCCACCAAAGTTGTCTTGAGGAGGAGGAGGAGAAGGAGGAGGAAGGAGACCAGAAGCCACGAGAGCCGCTAAGATGGCTGCATGGAGCCAGGAGGAAGGGGAGAATTAAAGCCCACCACCACCCAGGAGAGGCCAAAAGGACCCCATGCAGTGAAGACTTGCTCAGCGCTCTCACACGCTGTGCCTCCAGCTAGATGGGCTTAAAAGAGAAGCAGACAAATTC